TTGGCCCTTTTTCTCTTGCTACAGTCCCAGGCTGGTGTCAATCCTCTACAGCACAACGGGGCCCAGAAGAATCCCAAGGGCTCCCTCCATTCAAAAGGCAACAGGGCCTGGGAACAGCCTTGGGGAGGTGCCTCCACCCATAATACATGGGGCTGGGAGCAACTATAGGGGTTGCCCCTGCCCATAATACACTGGGGCATATGAACCCTACCCTTGACCACAGGGGTTGCATCCCTCACCTCCCTGGGAGGGAGGGGGTTAGGATGCAGACATAGTAGGAGATAACGGGGCCAAGGAAAGTGGTCTAGGGGACATAGGACTAGGGGGATCAGTGGGGAACACATTAGAGAAGAAAGGGCCTGGGGAACACAGGCCTTGGGACTCAGAGGGAGCTGGTGGGGAAGGGGTTTGGGGTCACAGGATTGAGGGGGTTTCAGACAGGTCTGGAGGGGAAAGGGATTTGGAGGGCACAGATTTGGGGGATTCAGAGGGGACTGGAGGGAAAGGGGTCTGAGGGCAGGGAACTGGGGGGGAGGGCTCAGAGAAGGCTGGAAGGCCCAGAGGGGGCTGGTGGGGAAGGAGTCTGTGGTTACAGAATTATGAGGGCTCAGAGGGGGCTGGAGGGCTCAGAAGAGGATGGAGGGGGAGAGGTCTGGGGGCACAGAACTGGGGGGACTCAGAGGGAGCTGGAGGGGAAGGGGTCTGGGGGGCACAGGACTGGGGGGCTTGATGGGGCTAGAGTAGAGGGGGTCCAAGGCATACAAGACTGGGGATGGGACAAAGGACCCAGAGGGGGGACAGCATGTGTGGTGCCTCTAATGATCCCCAGGGCCATGCCAGCCGGTGGTGGGAGTGTCTTGCTCCTGCCTTGGCTTTAGACATTGATTTGCTCTGGTTCTCCACCGGGAGCAGGGCTCCTTCTTATGGTCCCTACAAAATCCTCTCCCAGTGCACAAAAACTCTCCCCCCCCCCATTGGTGTTCAGCACCACCCTCAGCAGCAGGGAAAGCTGAGTCTCCCTCAGTCCAGCAGCCAGAGAAGGGACAGAACAAGAAAGAGTTAACAGCAGAGCAGCTTCCTCCCTCCTCCATCTGACCATGTGACTGCGCCACTAGCACCTCCCTCTTGCCGCGATGGGGCTACATAGTTGGAAACTCCTACTCTAAGGCAGAGCTGGGGTGGGGGTGGGGGAATCCTGACTCACAGCCCCCCTCCAGCCAGCAGGCTTCCTTCCTTTCCTGCCTCCTCTCCCCAGCCTCTAGGTTTCCTTCTGTCCCCCCTCTTTGGCTTTCCCTCCAGCCTGCTGACTGTCTTCTGCTGCCCGCTCCAGCCCTTGAGGTGCCTTTTGCTGCAAGGACCATTCTCTCCATGGCCGTCATAAATCATCCACGGCAAACACTCCAGAGCCCAGCCCCTGGTTCCTGAGGAAGCCCCAACAAATCAGGAGAACAACGAACTACTGGCTGGCCAGCCTGCAATTGATCCCCCAGGGAACCTAGGACTAGTTCCTTTGCGATCTGCTTTTCCCCAGTTCCCTTCAATTTTGATTGGAAGGTGTTTCTGCTGGACAGCAACCTTGCCCCTGTTGGCAGCTGAGTGGCGCAGTCTCCTGCCCCCATATTGCACATTCTTTGCTCCCTTGGAAGCCACAAGGGATGAGGGACCATATTTTTCTGCACCTCCTGGCTGCTATGGGGCATTCCTTATCCCTGGCATCAACCCCAGGACTCAGGGGTTTGAGACAGGAGTAGAAAGCCAAAGTAACCTCCTTCCAAGCAGGTCAGGCTGGCTCAACAAGCCCTAGCTGCTATTAAACACAGGCTGCTCTGAGTCAACACTCTTGGGTCCAAGCTCTGGCTCTCCCTTTGCCTCTAGGTTTGCAAACCATGGCCCTGGGGAATAATGGGACCCAGTGAGTAGGGCACTGGGTTGGAACTCAGGATGCTTGGGAATTGTTCCCAGCTCTGCCACTGACCTTGGGGAAAGGGCCTTCTCGTCTCTGGGCCTGCATATCTCCCCCCAACCTTTGTTTAGATTTTAAGCTCTTAGGGGCCCACGCTGCCTTTCCTATAGTGCTGTGATTTCAGCTGGGGGGGAGGTTGTGTCTATGCAGCCTATGGCACAATGGAGACCCTGATCTTGGTCAGTTTGTGAAGCCACAACACAATGGGGTCTTGATCTTGGTCCAGACGATCGTGGATACACAGAACAACAATAAAGCTGCACAAAGTAGTTCCCCACTGCGTGATTCTGGACGGACATTCAAGAGCGGCATGAAGCTCTGTTCATGACTGGGGCCCTCCAGTGGTAGGCTGAAAATTTTGCTTGGTGTGCTACATATGCAATCTGGCTAGGGATCCCTGGGGAACTGGCCTCATCAGCAGTCCCTCCTTGCTGATGTAGTGCTGTGTGCCAAGCTGCTAAGCAGAGAGGCAGTGTGTAGCTCTGCTGCAGTGTGCAATGTGTCATGGTGTGTTTGAACACAACAGTTTTGATAATCCTCCTGGTGTTGCACTGCACTGGAGGCCTGACTTGCTTCTTTGCTAGCTCACTATGCCCTAGCTCTCTGACTGGAATCTCTACCTCTTTACAGGATATTTGGTTCTGGGGGAAGATCAACAGAGACCCAGATTTGGGAACAATTCACAAATGCAAGCATCAGCCAGTCCCACTTGGTGGTGCTAATGTTGGCTACATGATATATGAGCATCCTCTAGTACAGTGTTTCTCAAACTGTGGTTGCATGGACCAGCATTAGACTTGCTGGGAACCAGGGCTGAAGCTGAAGCACATGCTCCACCCCACCCAGGACAGTGGGGCTTGGACTGTGGACCCCTTTCCTCCCACCCAGGGTGGTGGGATTCAGGCTCCAACCTCTCCCCCCCGGATCATGCATTAACTTTATTGTCAGAAGGGGGCTTGTGATGCAATAAGAACCCCTGCTCTAGTGTGTATGTGGATGCAGAGATATTGCACAAGTGTGTGCATGTAGGTGTGAGTATTTGCATGCAGCTGAGACTCTGGGAAGGTATGTGGATGTGTTTGCACATCAACATTGCACAGGTGTGTGTAGGCAGCTGTGACTCAGGGTAGGAGTGCTTGAGTGTGTGCACATGGCTGTGCAAGCAGATGTGTATTTTTGTGTGTGCACAAATTTACATGAGCATGCATGCAACTATAGGTGTATGCATGCAGCTGCAGATGTGTCCATGTGCATGAAGCTATGGATGCATCTGCATGTCATTGTGGGTGGGTATCTGTAGCTGTTGGAGTATTCCCGTATGTCAGGGGTGGGGAACTTTTTTTGGGTCTGGTGCCATGTGACCCATAGAAAAATCAGTCAAGGGCCACACACAAAACACACACACTGAAGCGGCTGATTGAGGAGAAAGACACTCCCTACATTGCCCTTGCACACCAGAGCCTGGCGGGCCCAGCCTAGTAGATTTTGTGTTCTCCAGCCCTGTGGTTGGGCAGTGGAGGGAGAGGGGGCACTGGAGCACCAGCACAGGCTCCCCAGTGCAGGGGAGTCCCTGAATCTCGGAGTCCGGATCCGGGCAAGCCGGGGTCCACATCTGATCCCTGGGCCTGAGGTTCCCCACCCGTACTGTATGTGATTGCCACTATGGGCCTGTACCAATGTGAGTGTGCATGATTGTACATGCAGCAGTGAGCATCTGTGGATATGCAGATGTTTGTGTGTGCAGCCCAGCCAGGAAGTGTGTGAAAGAGGCAGTGGGGACCCAGATTGTCTGTGTGTGTGCACTGCATGCAGCTGTGGCCATGTGCAAGCCATGCGAGGGCTCCCCCTGCCAATTCCTGGAGCTCGTACACTCCGGCTCCGGCTAACTGGGGCGCTGCACGTCGTCACCAGGAGTCAGCTCCCATCGCATCTCCAGGACGCTGCAGTGGGTGCTAAGCGCCAGCTGCGTCAGCCTTTGCTGCCGGCCGGCACCAACTGCAGTTCCACCGCTTCACAGCAGGTGGCGCCGCTAGCGCACATCAGCCCGTGGGGCTGGGTGACGAGGCTTGGCAGTAGCAACCGGGAGAAGGCGGGGTCTCGTCGCTTTGGAACGTCACTGCGCGCGCGGGGGAGGGGGGCGGTTGGGTAGCGCCAGCCCCCATGCACGGAAGAGCCAATGGGAGCGGGGGGGGACCCTGTGCTGTAGGTGGGTGAGGCAGGGACGCGCGGGGGGAGGGGCGTTACGGGTGAGTCTTGCGTCTCCAGGGGGCGCATGAAGCGCAGGTGCAGATGGGAGTGCGAGTGCGAGGACCTCTCCGGCTGGGCACGGGCACTTGCAGGCCTAGGCCGTGTGTCTATGCAGCTGCACTTGCAGGTGTGTGTGTGACGCGCCCAGGTGTACACACACACGTGTGCATGTTTGCACGATGCGGTGTGTACGTGAGCGCATAGCGACTCAATCCGTTGTGTGCCGGGTGTGCATCCTTGTGCGCCCATTTACCCAAATGGCTGATTTAATCTTCCTCCTCTTTAGCCTGGCTCCCCTCCGCACGGGAGAATAAGCCCCCTCGGGGGCACGCGCAAACCACATTTGCGGAAATAGCCGAGGCTAGTCGGCTCCTCCTGTTTTCGCCCCCGGGCTCGGTTATTCGCCTTGGAAAGGCGGAAAGAGTCGAAACCTCTTCGGCTTGTTCGTTGGTTTCCGGAAATTGCCGAAAAGAGCGTCAGCAAGGGGGCGGGGAATATTCCGGAAACTGCCGATCTTCAGCCTTCGGTTACTCTCGGGCGCTCATCCGGAAGTGTCCGATTGCTGTCCCGAAGGCGAACTTCGGGTTTCTCCGGAAGGAGGCGAAGTGACCGATCGCGAAAGGGGCCGCGCCTGCTGTTTCGGATGTTTCCGGAAGGAGGCGCGAACTGGCGATGACAGGGAGGGTGAATCGAGAGTTTCCGTCAGACGGCGGAAGCTGCCGAGAAGGGGTTGGGGGCTGGGGTTTCCGGAACCGGCGGAAACTGGCTCCGACGAGCGGCTCGGATGTTTCCGGAAGGGGGCGGAAATGGCCGAAGGCCGGTGGCGGCGGCCATGTTGGGATCTGCTGCCGCTGCTGCTGTGTGAATGTGAGATGCGCTGAGGGGAGCCGGGTCTCGGGGCGGAGAAGGCGGCTCGGCCAGGGGCACTCGGCCTCCGGGTCTCCTCAGCCCCGGCTCTGTGCAGCCTTCGCTCACGCGTACGCCTGGCTGCCGGCGGCGCGGCCTGGTCCCTGCGCCTCATCCCCGGGTTCGCCTGAGCCGCCGGGCCGGGCTTCCCTCATCGCGGCCCGGCGGAGACCCATGTCCGAGTCCCGGCGGTTTCCGGCTCCCTGAATCCCCCCTCCCCCTTTGGGCTCCCCCATGGTGGTGGCCTGGCCGCCGCCCCCGGTGTGAGGAGAGCCCCAGGAACCGCCGGAGCCCCAGGAGCCGCTGGCCAAGGGGGCCCAAGATGTCGAGCAGCGGCCGGAGCCCCCTCCCCACCGTGAATGAGAGAGACACGGAACAGGTAGGGGGCTGGGGGGCCCCTAACCCGAGGGAGGGAGGGAGCGAGGCAGGGAGGGCGGGATGCCGTATTTTGCTGAGGGAAGGGAATGCAGGGGGGCAGGAGAGGGGTTCCCTGCTCCGGGTGGGGGGATATAGAGCAAGCATTGACTATAGGGTGGGTAATACCCCATGCCCTGCAGCTCCCCATCCTGTGCTTCCAATGGTTAAGTGAGGGGTGGGAACCTCCTTCTTCATAGATCGATATGCATCCTTCTTGAGTCCTTAAGGGTCCATCTGGTCTTCCCTGTGATGGGGCATGTGGAGCAGGAAGGCAGGAGAGGAGATTCCTACAGAATCCCCTGTGTATGTATACGTATCTTCCACCTAGTAAGTCCCTTCATGCCTCCCAAACTCTGTGGTCTATAGTGTACCTACTGGAGATAGTGCAGATCAGGGAAGAGATTATATGTATTCCCACATACCCAGTACTTCATCACTAACTGCTGTCAATGGAGAATGAGATATTGAGACAAATAAGGGAGAGACTACTATGGATCTGCTCTGTGCACAGAGCTACAGATCCCCTGTGTATCTTCCCTCAAAGTGGATGCAGGGACACTTGGAACCCTGTAATGATTCCCTGGTGAAAGAGAGGCGTGCGGCAGGATGATACAAATAAATATCTATATAGTTCTTATTCCCATAGGCTGAGTGGTCCATGCAGGAGTGGCTGAAATCCACTTCTGTGCATTAATGCTCCACTTTCAATCTCCCTGAAATGGGAAGAAGAGAACAGTGGATTGATTTATTCCCTGTGGCATGCATGAGCAATTGGGAGCAGGGATCTTTTCCATCTTTCCTTCCCCTCCCATATATTAATTGCCTCATCAGCCCATGCTGAATGATGGGGGTTTTGAATGGGCAAGGGAAATGGCCCCCTGCTCTGCCTCTCTTTGCCTTTTCTGCTGCTCCATATCACATCAGGTCCTTCCTTGGCTTTCATAGTGAAGGAAGATCCCACTTCCATGCTCACTCATTATTTCCCTATGCCCTTATTAGGTTTACCTCTCAAGTGCCTCATTCATTTGCAGCTCAAGATGCCTGGTGACATGGTGGTGGTTTGCTTTTTCAGGGGTGCATTTGTGAGAGATGACAACTAGTGAGCAAATTGCATTCCCAACTGAATTTAAGAAACAGCTCATAAAGACACAGAAATCTAACCTGTTTTAATCCTCATGACCCTTGTGAGTCGAGACCTGCTGTAGACATGAACTTCCCATAGTCAGTAATTTTTTTTTAGGTGATTTGTGGAGAAAAGAAGGGACTGGCTGTGCAGCCAGGATCTCTCTGGCTGTTGTGTTTAGCTGCATAAGGTAATCAAAACATGATTTTGGACTTTATTTGTAAAGAGTATTTCACTTGCACTAACAGCCTTCCTTCCATGAAGTCTGATTCATTTTAAGTGGTTGATGCCATATGCTACTTAGTCTCCTCCTTATCTTTGTCCAAAGCAAAGGTATTTTAAAAATGGGCTTCACTCCCAGTCTTGAGATGGCTATGTAGTTTAGGGATGTTAAATATTGGTTAACTGAATAGTCAAGTAACCTCATGAATTCTTATTGATTACTCGACTATTCTATAGTCCTGGGGGGAGGCGGGGGGCAGGTGCCAAGTGGGTGCTGGTCTGCGAGGGGAACCAGTTTAAAAACCAACTTCTCTTCTGGACCAGCTGTTTGTTGCCCTGTGCTACTGCCTCTAATATAGGGGAGGCAGCAGCCCCTGTCCATGGTGGGAAGAGGTCTGAGCTCCTGGACTCATTGTGAGCCAGAACTGAGCCAAGCTGCCTGCCCACCTACCTCCTAATAATACACTTTAAATGCAGAGCTACAGTGGGGGTAGGTCTCATACCTGTCACGAGCCAGGACTGAGACAGGCTGCTCACCATACTGCTAACAAATTTACTGCCCAGCGGAGGGAATGCATGTAGTCTGTAGCATTAACCTATAAGCTTTTTCTTATTGGTTAATCAACTACACTATTGCATCCCTAATGTGGTTGTATCCCCATTACTAATGAAGCTTGAGGAGGTGTGGAATTGTGTATGTACGCTTGTGTATTGTGTGGCTAAGAGGGCCCTAGCTGCCCTTTGACCACTAATGTATGCTTTATGTTGGTGAAGTTGGTCCTGGTTTCAAAACATGCCCTGGTGCTTCTTAGAATTAATAGAATTTTCTTCTCTGGTACCTTTAAACAAGCAGGAATACAGCTTCAGAATGGGGATCAGCTCCCTCTGTTTCTATTAACTGGTCTCATTTCATCTGGCGTTCTTAACAGTTTCTTCAAAATAACTAAATTTGGCTGACATTTAAGCACAATTGATCTAAAGCTGTTTCCATGATCTCTCTTCAGCTGCCTTAACTTTAAATTGCTAAAGCATAAAAATAAAGCTTCTGCTTCCCTTATCCCTGTATGAATGGCTGGATAATGAGAATTCAGATCTCAGACTGACACTTCAGACCGGCTGTCAATGATTTAGGCTTCTTTAGCTGTGTCCTTCCCTGTTTTCTTTGTGGGTGGAGGGTTGCAAGTAGATTATTATGGTGCATAATAAAGGCAAAAGCAGAACATAATTCAGAGCCAAGATTTCAGTCATCTTCTTCCGTTAAAACTGGAGGTCTGGAGAGTTGGCAGGAATCTGAATGATCAATAATATAAGAATTTATCTTTGTGGCAGTGTTAAGAGGGAATTGTGGAGATGTCAGAGAACTGAAACCAAGGAAGGCAAACTATAGTGCATCTCCATCTCTTGTTGCTTTTTCACTTTGGGGTCATCTTGTGTTTTTAAGAAGATAACAGCATCAGAGGCAGGGTAGGGGGCTTGTACAGAATCCTTTTCCACACAGCTCTACCAACTTAGCTAAATCCTGACTAGGATGTAAAATCCTGTTTAATTTTCAAACGCAGCATTAACACTATGTTTAACTGGTTAACTGATTTAAAAAGGAGTAGGGAGAAGCAGAGGTTGAAATCCTTTCCCTCCTCCCCCGCAGGCAGGAGCTGCTCCGGCTGAGCTGGGAGCAGCTCACCTTTAAAGGTGATGGTTAACTGTAACCAGTTAACTGTTCACATCCCTAGTCCTGACCTACAAGACCATTTCCACCCTTGGTTTGTTTTGAGCAGAGAGCTATTAACCATCCTAAACTGATCATCTAAACCGATCCCTAGTCCTGACATTTCCACCCTTGGTTTGTTTTGACCAGAGAGCTATTAACCATCCTAAACTGATCATCTAAACTGAAGAGCAAAACTTTGCCAAAGTTCTCTTTGTTGTGTGGTAGTGGCTTTTCATGATCAAAACTGAGGTGTGCCTTGTCTAAAAAACTGTTTCTAGTGGAAAATGTAGCTTGAGAACCTCTTGCTTTCAAGGTAGAGTCAACTATTTTGAGGTTAAAAACAGGAAGTGTTGTAATTTCTCTTATCTAGAACATTGCAGATGACTGTTTCAGGCATCTGGACCATCAAAACTGATGTATATTTCATCATTGAGTAAAAGCTTAACAGGTTGAACTTCTCTAGTCTGGCACTCTCTGGTCCGGTAACTTCCGTGGTCCGGCATGATTTTAGTTAGCTGGTTCTCCACTTATTATGGGTGTGGCCAAGTTTCCTGTAGTCACATGAAGTTTGTGTTCAGCTACCAGTCCTGGCTCTCAGTGTTCTGTGCAGTTATTTAGCTCTAATTTACCCCAAATGCCTTCTGAGAATCCAGTAAGCAGTGGAAATGTTGGTCATGCAGCTAGACAATATTGTCCTCCCGTAATCCAGAAAATTCTCTGGTTTGGCACCAATCATGTCCTGAGGATGCTGGACAAGAGAGGTTCAACATATACAGGTACCAACTTAGTATCAAACTGTTTCCTCTAACACAAAACTCCCTTTTCGCAGCGTCTTTGCCCATTCTAACCCCTTCCAACAGATTTGTCTATTCTTCTCAATTATCCAAATGCTTTTGCTATCCCAGAAATATTTCCAGTAAACAGGGGTTGTATTGTATTACCTTGTTTGGCCAGGCTGTTTTTACTTGGTGAAATCGTATATGTCTCTCAACCTTCCCCATTGTACCCTCTAGCAGAGGGTGCCCGATTTCAGTAGTCTCCCTGGACATCCATTTTACATTAGGGATGTTAAATTGTGAGTAATTGACTAATTGAATAGTCAATGCATTTTGCATCACTATTCGATTAGTCGATAGGGCACCTCTGCCTTTGAAGTATAGCAGTAGCCCTAGGGCTGTAGCTACACTTCAAAAGTGAAAGCACTGCTTGGAGCGAGGACTCTCCTGCTGACCCCAGGCTCCATGTCTGGGGTCAGCGAGGGATTCCCCTGCTGACCCCAGGCTCCATGTGATGCTGCCGCTTTGAAACGCCGTGGGGAGCCCGGGATCAGCTGGGGACCCTCCCTCGCATTGGTCCCGGGCTCTGCTCAGCACTACCGCTTTGAAACTCCGCGTGGGAACCTCCCTCGCATTGATCCTGGGCTCTGCTCAGCACTACCGCTTTGAAACTCCGCGTGCAGCCTAGGGATACCCCAGATGGCCCTGGGCTGCATGCAGCGTTTCAAAGTGTCAGTGCTGTGTGAAGCCCGGGGTCTGGTACCCCCTTCCCTCTCCTCCCCCCGCTGCCTCTTTCTGATAGACGCATCAAGGGAGGAAGTAACTAGTCGACTAGCCTGTTTACTAGTCTGTCACATCCTTTAAAGAAATGTATGCTTACATCATTTGGAATTGGTGATATTTTAAAATCTATAGTTGAATAATTTAAGGGGTACAAAAAATTGTGAAATCTTTATATTGTCTGTTACTTAAATGAGGACCTCTGGTCCTCTCACTGATGTTTTACAGCTTAAGCATGTTCCTTTGCACCTTTTGCTATCTGCTAATGTGCATCATAATTGAGAATAGAGCTCTCAACTAGAGCAGAAGACCATCTTCTGAGATCCAGAGCAACATACCCACATGATGTACTT